ATGAATTATGTCACCCTTAATATGTTAGGTTAGGTCAGAAATATCTTTACCTAATTCAAAATGTTTATTATCTACCCAATTACCTACCTAATTGTTTTGGTAAGTACACAAATTTAAGTATTGTAGTAATATGTAAACAATCTTAATACGCTTATTAAAAAATTACACACTTAATTTTTACCAATTTATTAATCATGATGATTCATTGTACATTATACTTCTATTAGAGTATCATATAAAAATACATATTTACCATCCAAACATTCAGTTAGCAACATATTTCAATAAGCGCACATACACGAGTTTATAACACATAACCCCGACGAAAAAAAGAAAACATTTAATTCAAGTCGCGTGCATAAAATGTAAAAGCTTTTAGATTTCTTGCAAATATGTGACAGACGTTACATCTTTAGAACATATAAAAGATACGAAAATGAAAAGACGACGTTTTATTTCATCCACAAAAAAAAATAGATTAGGTTATATAAATAAAATATATTTTTAAGAGTGGAATAACCTACTTCCGAGATAATGTTTATTTCTTATAAATTAAAAAAAAACAATTTATGGGATGTATATATTGAATAATGGCATGCATAAGATATTATAATTACTTTATCATAATACCATATTATAACACTTTATTTTGTGTAATTACTGTTAAACTTTTTATGACGCTTTGAACCCCTTTTTGAAACGATGAATTTATAATTTATAAAGCACGCACACTTATACACATTAAATTTATGAGCTCAATGGCATAAATAAAGAAAAATTTATTTTAAATTTTATAAAGCACAAAATCAGCTTAAGGGCATTCCAAAAACCACGTACTACATATCCATTGTAATTTATTTTAAAACATTCAAATGTCTGTTGGACAATATTGATGATTAATATAGGCAATTTTAAGATTCCAAGTTTATACTCAATTAGACAATTGTAGACTATTTAGCTTACAATATCAAGACTTTTGTAAAATAACATCTGGATTCTAGATAAATGTATCGTAATCATATATCAGTAATATAGGTCCCGGATATTAATTTAATAATCAAATATTAAGTTCTTGATATTTGCATTAAAAATTAATTACGGACTATACAAATTAATAGTACATATAATTAACCCAAACGTTTACACTTCAAAACATACTTTTTTTTTAAAACATTCATTTCCGCAAATTATTTTGTTGTTTTCTATTTTCTTTGTCTTATGTGGGTGGTTTTAATTTAGAGTAACGATCGATTTTTCTTTGTTAAAGTTTATAATAATCTTTTGATGTAAGTAGTATTCATGTTTTATATTAGAAATTATTTGAATCTAGAAGTGTTCAAGTATATCCGAATCTTATATCTTAATCGTGTGCAGGTTCTTAAAATTTATCCTTTTTTACCCTTTTTCATTATAAATAATTTAATTCACAAAATAAAATAACGACAGCTTAAGTAAAATTACATTAAAAGTTTTTCTCAGTAGAAATAAGTTGAAGTAATTTTTATTATTGTAATCGATTGATAACGTATTGACAATATTACTATAAAAAATTGATAAGCTAATGATGATTTAATTTTAGATGTTCATTGAAATCGATTATTTTCTGTATCATCGCTGGTAAAATACTATAATTTAAAAAATATGTTAAAATTACAAACTTGAATTAACTGTTGGATGTGGAATATATCCAAATGTATTACAAATAGTTATAAAAACATAGGTAATAACAATTTTTATTTTACTCAAGTTACAACTTTTATATTAATTAATCATAATTGTAGTAATAATGAGGAAAAACGTACGTAATGAAAAAAGTACCAAACTCCATTTGGTAGATGAATGTTATTTTTTACTTTTTTTTATTGTGGTTTTTTACTTTTTGTAAAAAATATCGTTTAATAATAGTTTAATTTCAGAGATAACAAATTACATAAAATGTATTATGATTTATATGATCATTATATTTAAAATTTAGTCAAGTTTTTAAAAGAAAATACGATTTTAGTCTTATTATTTATGAAACACTTAATAAATAGCGTAGCTATAGTGTTTTACAGGATCATACGATCCCAGCCACTTTCATTACACAAAATTTGGAAGGCCTAGTAAAATTAATTTTTAAAAAATACATTTTAAACTGATTGATTAAATATTTTATTAAAATAACTTTGTAAGGATATATTTATAATCACTCATCAGTCAATATAATAAATAACTATAAAATAAAAGCTAGATACCCATAGAATCACAGAATTTGATTTGCTCACTATGGTACAGGAGAATGTTGTATTTCATTATTAAAGGGTTGGAAACCTATGTAATAATTTATTGCTTTTGCCAAAAATGTGGAGCCCAGTTAAAAGTTATACCATCATTGCTCGATTTTCTTCTAGATATGACGATGGTATTTAGTATCTTTTATTTACTTTTAGAAAAACCTGAAAAACTAATCGAAAAAATTACCTCTTCAAAGTAGATATCAAATAAACTCAATTTCCAATTTACAGATCTCGTCACTTGATAGTTTTGGAGCATTTCTCCACTTTACAAAAAGTGTTCACAGCATAAACATTAAATGATACAAAAATAACATATTGTAATAATAGCAATCCATTCCTCACTTTACTTATATCTTATCAAAACAAAAAAATGCATTATACAATTTTGAAAATTCACAGTGATTCAAAATATTATGGACATATTTGTTCTAAGAATTTCTGTGCCTATTATAGTTTTAATAATTTATGGCTTACTCTGTATCTGTACTCGGAACTTCATTTTCAGATACTGTAATAAAAACAGTAAATTAATACAGTCTCAAAACATCTTATAATTATCTAAAAATATCAATTGAAATAAAAACCGAAATTTGTCGAAGTTGTTTGATAATTTACAATTATGAGTGAATGATGAATGCACAACATTTAAAACTTAAATAAACGATTGGTGAAAACGACTTTTATTAAATTTATTCTGAATGACTAAATTCAAAAATCAAAAAAATAATTCTATTAAAACATCCTGTACATTTATTATGTTTGGTAATATTAATTATAAGGATTGAATTTGTACAGCCATGTCTAATGAACTTTTAATTACGACATTACACGTATGTATTTTAGATTAATTTGAAATGCTATATTATAATATAATGCATTCAAGCCTTAACTTTTACGGTGTCCTAATCGATCAAATTATTTTTTCATACAAGTTTCGTAAACACACTATTTGAAATTATATTATTATTTTTCAAAAGAAACTGCTATAAATCGGTATCTAACTTAATTTCGGGTCTTAAGAGAGTTTCGTGAAAAAATAATTTCCAATCGCACTTAAAAAAAAATACTTTTCGAAAAAAAGAAAACTTTTACCGTCAACCGTAATTCTATACAATATTATGAATGGACAATAACGGTAGGATGAGAAAAACCCACACGGTCAGAATTGTGGATGAATCCATTATCGTCATTATTATACGTCTGGTCATTGGGGAATAGTAAGTTCCAACACGAGATTATCAGGTAAAAATTGCATACGTTTATACTTTATTCCAATAGATGAGATGTCTAAGAAAGTTCCTACGGGATCATAAAAATGAAATTGTTAATTCCTGTACGGAGGAAAAAGAAAGACTACTAAATAATCGCAAAATTCTGTTATTTCTGAATTTTAAAATTAAACTTTTATGAGGGTATTAACTTTTTACATTCTCAAGAATAATATGAATTTTAAATTTTTTAAGATAATTGAATGAGTTAGTATCATTATTATCCTAACATCGGTGTATAGGGACTTACTTATTACATTTTTTTTCGACTATCTATAGGAATTAACCAGTTGTAATGTTTTTGCTGTGTCGCAACTTACATCATGTCATTTTTTTACAGCGTAAGAACTAATGTATGCATTTTTTACCCTTTAGGTCTCGTGTAGGAACAAATTAGTTGCGTCCCGTAAAAAAGGTATGCGCGAAATGTGTCCAACTATATTGGTCAGGTCTCAGGTAGTATGTTTTTTTTTCCGTTTTCGTTGTGTATTTATAAGAGGGTCTTGGACACTGATATTATACTGCGAGATATATTATGTCATTATGATGTATATACTAAATTACAATAAACATGGGTGGTTTTTTTTATCGATTCCTGGTTAATAAGCAACAATAAACAAGTTGTCGTTTATCGTCATAATGGTCAATAACAACTCGAGTCAATAACTATACTTTACCACCGGCGCCTTGTTTTATTATATATAATATATTATATAAATTAAGTATATATAATATATTTTAGTAACTCACTTTTTTGCATTTAATTAAATGTAATCAGCTTAAAAAATAAAATAACAAAGTTAAAAGTTAGATGAAGTAAATCAAAAAGTATAACCCTAATTTTTAAATTATTTATGATTGTATTTGTATTATTATTTTATTACCTATACCTATAAAATTAAATATTCATAATATTCAAAATAAATTTGATTTCGTGATAAATATAAAATGTGAATGCTATGAAAAATATATTAAACAAAAATACTTTTGGCAAATTCCTTTTTAACAACGGTATTAATCATTTAGTATTAGACCTAATAACACCCGCTGAATACATTTAAAAAAAATCCCAATTCACATATTATTAAAGTCTTATCGAATTGTAGAAATATTTGACTTATATCACATAATAATTGTGATCACACTTGAATTACGAGTATACTACCTATTTATTGCACTATAGTGCAGTTTAAAAATATTTCGATTTTGGAGGATTGTCGCTCTAACTACTATACATTGCCTAAATATTAAAATTATTTGTTTTCAAACTGTTTTTGACGGAAACGGGAATCGTACGCTTTTAACTTTTGACAGAGAATGGTTCTGCCGGGATGTAACACTATAGATCTTTTGGAGCTCAATTCGTATACCTTTTTCAGGGGGCGCAAATCAAATACTCCTCTTACATTCACCCTTGTCATTAACTATGCTGTTTTTGTCTGGATTTTCACAGGTACGTGGCCGTGGTCCATCCGCAGATAAACCGGATATGGTGCCGGATGGAGACCACTCTGTCGGCGATCGCGTTGGGCTACCTGGTGTGCCCGATCATCTGTATACCCAGCTACCTGTCATTCAACCTGTTCTCCCGAGTGGAGACGTTGGACGCGAACGGCAACCGTCCAGCGTCGATACTGCAGTCGGCGCTTCGAAGGGCCAATAACAGCACCGATGTCCACAACGGTCACGGCACCGGCGGAGGAGGCACCGGCGGAGGAGGCTTCAGCATAGGCGCCAGTGGAGGTGGTGTTGAAGGCGGTGGAGGCTTCAACAATAGCCACGGAGGCGGTGGGCCGCTGCGCAACGTCACTCTGTACTACGTCAACGTCAGCGACTTAGCCACTTCCACTTATCTGGCCGACATCAATTTCTGGGTCTACAGCGTCGTCATCAAGATCATACCGTGCGTGGCGCTCACTGTTCTCAGCCTGCGACTGATATGCGCACTGCTGGAGGCCAAACGTCGCCGGGCCAAGCTAACGGGCAGTGGCCGCAAGTCAGCCGACAAGGAGCGGCAGACGGACCGGACCACCCGGATGTTGTTGGCCGTACTCTTGTTGTTCCTGATCACCGAGTTCCCGCAGGGCATACTAGGCCTGCTCACGCTACTGCTCGGCAAGCGGTTCTTCCAAGACTGCTACCAAAACATGGGCGAGGTGATGGACATGCTGGCGTTAGTCAACTCCGCCATCAATTTCATACTGTACTGCGTGATGAGCAGGCAGTTCCGCAACACGTTCAGCCTGCTCTTCCTGCCGTCCTGGATCTCTAAGGCCGAGTCACAGGCCCTGTCACACGGTAACCCGACCACCACGCAAGTCACGCAAGTCTAAGCTGACGCTGCTGTCGTTGCCCTCCCCCCCGTTAACCAGTCGTCGTTGTCATAGCGTGTATGCTCACCCATCACACAACACCCACACCACCTGCTGACCACCAACTCCGACGACGGTAACGGTGACGATAATATTATAACGTATGCAGGCGGTGATTCACTAAGTATGCTCAATCCCCATTTCTACATAATTAAGTTAAATTATTTGATTTAATCGAATTCTGATTTTTGGTATTTTTATGTATATTTTTATAGTATTAAATACCATATTTTCAATTACTCAGATTTCATACACTTTTTGATGAGGTGTGATCTGTGAAGACAGACACTTTTGTTTTTCCAAATAAGAACCAACTTTATTTCGCCTTAAACTATTTAGCAGATGATTTTTGTTTTTGGAATTTTCAATATAAGTATCTAAATATTGAAATCGTAACCAGTAGTTACCAATGTATTAAACATTATGTAGTGGGTATGGTTTATGGATATAATAATGTATGTCAAATTTCAATATAATATGGGATTTACAGAATATGAAAATTCTGGTAGTTCATACTAATATATTAACATTTTGTAATTAGTAAAAAGCCTTTTATTAAATGTTACATAAATTCTATATTTTTGAAAATCATTTTTAAGCATTATTATTCTTAATAAAAACATTTTAACAACCCAGAAACTACGAGTACTATAGTTAAAATAATCAACTCCAAATTTTATAGAAAAAAAGGAAATTTCTCACATTATAAATATACATTTTTATCGTCACTGTGGAACGAAAATCTAAGTATTTGAAAATATGGCCTTTGAGTATACAAGAAAATTTCAAAAATTACAAGTTGAATTAATGAATTATTAAAGGAAAAGAGGGATGAGCATGCTCAGTGAATCGCACTATTTATAAACATTTTCTGGTTACACTTTGAGCTCCCTTAAGGCTCAAAATTCTAATATTTAAATGTTAACGATAATTACAAATCGACCACACAGGGTTATTGTTTTTAATCTACACGCTGTTTTTAGCACTAAACAATTTCACTGTTCATGTTTCAAGCCTTTTTCGCTATCCCGTTGACCGCAAGACTTGAGCTGCGTATTCATACCGAATTTCGTTCAAAATCCTTTACACTCGTTCAAGTACTATCCGCTGCCAAACGGCGTTTAAATAATAATATACCGGACTTGTCACAATGATTATAGTCTATGTATAAATAAATATTTAATTCTAGTCCATAAAACACAAATAATTTCTAGATCATCATTTTTTTTTTTTTAGACTAATGAAAGAAATAATAATAATAACGTCTGCTTTTGATTTTAATTCCCAGCAAAACATTAGGTTTAGATTTTCGGTAACAATGTACTGTTCAACAGAATATTTTGATAATTTCATATATTCATAGTTAAGAACATTACCCATACATTATTGTATTCAAGATGAATAAAATAGTTGAGTAAAAAAAATTACATTTATTTCCGTTTTAGTTTTAGTCGTGTAATGTTTTCAACAGTGTTGGCCGAACAAAAAATGCTGACCTCGAGATGTTTTTGATTCTTTAGTTTCCACGAGATTACCTAACCTATTATATTAACAATAATTCTATTGCGATTTCTCATGAAATAAATTGTTATACCGACTTTTGAGAGTAAAGTGAATTTTTCACTTATTCTGTGGCTACCAATAACTTCAAAATATTATTATTTTAATTTGTTCAATTCGAAACTCGAAAATAACCAAACTACTACACACACGAAGAGATTGCATTGCTAAAAGGGCTTATGCAATTATTATGAAAATGACATTATACTTTAATGTGTTGTAGCAAAAGTAAAATTAGCAATGGAATCACTCCGAAATAATAATCATAAAAGTGACTTACCCATACTAATCGCATAATGTTTGAAGTTATGTTTAATAATACCGAAGTATAATGATGAATAATATTAACAAATTTTAATGTGAATTCAAAAAACTAAGTTAAATTTATAACATCCAACTATTGATTAATAAAAAAAAAACTTAGATTTGTATTAATTCGGCATATTGATTGATATACTCAAATTCTATAAAAATGTTAGATTTATGTGTTTATTGTTAAATATTACAATACATTATCCAATGTTTCATATTAACTATATAGTTAAATAATTATTGTACTTGTACATAAACATTAAACATATTAATCTTTATGATTTTAATAATGTTATATTATTAATCAATAAAATTAGAACATTCTGTAAATTATTAGTTAAAATATAAAATAGGTTTATAAATTATAATTTAGTCTATAGGGGGACTACCTATCAGATGTTATATTTTTATTTGGTCGCGTTTGATAAATGTTTTGTATCTAAAATATTATTAGCACGAATTTTTATTGAATTATAAAAAATTATGTTGTATTTAGTTATAGCTTTTGAAAAACATTTTGATCATATTCATTTCAATGTTTCCGCAGATCGCGTAGTTGACTAATCGTTTTACTATTTTTTTGTTTGTATAAATAATAAACAAAATTTGATTTATGAAAATTATGCATTATATTTTGTAAATGTCCAATAAAAAAAATTATGTGCTTTAGTTTGGACTAACTTTATTTAGAAGGTTATCTTCAATATTTATTCTTCAGATAAGCCAACCTCTGTTTAATGCTGAATGGCCTAGGAAACTGTTCATTGGTTTCATGAGAAAACCTTTAAATAAATAAATCCTAAAAATAACTAACATTTTAAACTAATTGTGTTACAAAGTTTAAATAAAAAAAATTTAAAAAAAATAACATTTCAACTATGAACTAGGTAATGTTAATGATTAATGAATATCTGCTTCAATCAAGCTATCCTGTAAGTAGTGCTATCTTTGTAAGTAGGTATTCCCTTTTTAAATATGATTAGTACCAACAAAAAAGTTGTTCTTCAAACGTTTTCTTATAAAAGTTGTCATCTAGCTTTTTTCTCTCATAAAAATAAAAAAGCTAATATTTAGATGCAATGCTTGAAATCGATTTCAATGAGAATTTTAAATATTGACAAAAATTGTTAAAAATCTTATAAGAAATAAAAATTAATATTGAAATTGAATTTTCTTTATGACATTCAAAATACATATTAAAATTTAAAAAATATTAAAATCAATGATTGATATCGAAATGATGATTTTTTTAAAAATTAACTCAAGCTTGAAACTCAGCAATAGCCAACAGGTCTAAGATATTTTTCATTAATCATAGGTAATAATTAGTAATAGAAATACTAATACTTCGTTTTCTTATGTATGTTTCACGACCCTGCGAGACGCTGCGTATGGAATGTCCGAATGACAATGATGCATATAGTTAGGTAGATGTCAAAATTAAAATAGTGCAAATATAAAAGTGATTTTTAAAATATATAAAAAAAATTTTATTTGAAAAATTATACATTTAAAAGAAAAATTATAAAACAATTAAATCGATACTGTGAAACAATATAACAATTATGAAATTATAAAATCAATAAATTATTTTAAATTCATTGAAATTAAAAAAACTAATATCAATAACCAAAGTTGAAACTAAAATCTAAAAATTTTATTTCGATTTCAAACTCTGTTTAAATATATTTAATAAAATATTCAATATTTAATTTATTTATATTTTAAAATTGTATTGTCAAATCTAATGGTTTTTACCCACCAAATTTACTTAAATAACAAAATCAATAAAAAAAATCCATTTTATTGATCGAAGTTGGATGATATTTTATTCCATAATTTAACAATATAATAAACAATCTATAATATTTTATCAGCAATAAGAACAAATGCACTATGAGAATACGGTACGTTTATGTAGAACAAACAAAGTTCTAAGCAACTCATAAAAAACTAAAAATAAAATTACTAAAAAAATATTTCGTAAATTATGATGGACAATGCTAAAAGATGATTGCTATAATTTATCATCAAATGTATACAGTTATTAGAGATCTAACAATATTTCCATTCTGATTATAATTTATAAAAAATAGATTCTCATCGTTTCCTCTTTATTTATTATCTGGTTAATATTTTTGTTGGGCAGACATTTCCTGATTTTTCTTTTTATACACAACAATTACATTGTATTATATTATTACTTCTACTTTATACATTAATAAATACACTAAATGACTTAACACCAATGATGACCATACATGGGTGTACTAAATATAAACACTATTAATATTCCATAATCACTCTTTTCAAATCTTAAGAAAATTCATATTCATTCTTTCTTCATTCAAAGTTCTTTTAATTTCGTTTATTTAATACACCTGGTATGTCTTATTGATTTAAGTTCATACATGTGATTACATTCAAACAACAAAAATCTCATGTTATTATTTATGCACCTACCATTCAATCTTCCTTCAAGCATCTAAAACTTCTCTACGCTTTCCAACAAGTCAGCATAAGATTTGTTGAACCGTCGTCCAGCACTAGAGTCATCGTGAGGATTCGAGTAGTACATCCCAGAAAAGGTATCTGTTAAATTTCACTGCTGTTGAAGCTCGAGGTTTAAAGTATATTCACAATACAATGATGTCGAGCTATGTCAGGTTGTTCTGATAAGAATTATTGCAGTCACGCTCCTAAGACACTCGTATCTTGGATGTACCAGTTTATTATATACCATTAAATTCCTCAAAAAGCGCTAGCAATTAAATTAACAATATCATTCAAATCTCACTACTGTACTACCTCCTTCAAATATCCACTATCCAGCAGTTTGATTTAAATCAGCATACTCACTAGATTTTGCCATAAATCAATAAGATTCAGATCATATAATACGAAACACATTCAATTGTAATTTATAGAATTGTTCAATACATAATTAATTAGGATTTGCAATAATATCGCGCATCGAACCACGATCAACCGAACAAGCTTCTGAGGACATCCAAGATAAAGAACATCCTTTCGCTACTAACAAGGTAATTGGCGTTACTTATACAACTATTCCAGTCAAAATATGTTCATAGTCTTCTAGATATCTTGCACGGTTATAACATTATTTAGAAGTAGAGTAAGAATTCCATAAACACATCCACAACATGGAATCTCCTCCCCCATATATTACCCACTTTTTATTTTTACTTTATTTGTATTCTACTACAACACTTAGAAGTGAAGTTAGAACAAACGTTCAGCACTCGAATGTGTGCTGGCGCTTTATGAATACCACTTTACAACGGCCTTAATGGGAATTCTATACAAAATACTTCTCAGGCTATTACTTACCGGTGACCAGGATCATGCACAAGGAATCGGCCCGATGACAGTTTGCACTTCACATATTGTAAAACAAATATGATAAACCAACAAATTGTACTTGGACTAATGGACTATTACCAAAAACATATTCAAAATTCGTTCAGGAAATTATTTTTATTTGAAATTGGAAAAATCACAAATTATACATTATTTTTACAATCAATAAGTGTCTGATGACGTAAGCATACTCCCAATTCGATATGTTACCTTCGTAATTTATTTAATACTACGATATCAATACTAAATGTTTCAGTTTTAAATAATAACGAATTATCAGCCATTGATATTGCCTATTTTTACTGCGTATTAGTAAATAATACATTT